AGAGAAATGGGCAAAATATCATTTATGAAAATAGGCTTGTTGTACTCCAGGTGGATTAAAAAGCAAAAATCAGTTAGGAAAAGCGGATATATTTTAGAAGCATTAATATTTATGATTATTGTTATGTTTTATTTGCATCTTAGAAAGTATTTATGTCTCAGAAATTAATGACCTCAGATTTCCAGTCTTTACATTGCTTATAATTAAGCAGTCAATTTTTTTTATCTTAATCATTAATTTTAATGACAAAATATAAAAAATAAATATAATGTATGGGAACATATATTAACGGAAGCTATTTATGTCTTAGAAAAGTTATGCCGTGATGCCGAAATGAAAGAGAATATGTACAAAGGGATTTTATGAGTGAAAATGCATCATTTACTATTAAAAGTGTTAATTAAATTTTAATTTGCAAAAATTATTGAAATATTACAATAACGGGGGAAGCATTCATTTCTGAAATATTCCATTCGTTTGTGTAGGGAAAATAGCAATGTAATTGCGTTCTTTAGATGTTGAAATGCAACTTAAAACTATTAGGGAATGATGCATTGATATGTTTAATATTTTCAGTAATTAATTATCGAAATTACGAGAAGTATATACTTTTAGTTGTGTGTGCCATTTTTATTTTATTATTATCTTATTATTGATGATTTCACGTACGAATGCTGTGGAAAGTAAATTAAAAGCAAAAGTAAAGTAAATTTGTAAAATTTATTTCAAATAACGATTAGAAAGTACTCCATGAATCGTTCTTCCCCTAGGCAAATAGTCCTCGAATGCTTTATTATTATATAATAATTCAATCCCATTCCTTTAAATAACGGACAATTATTGCGCATTACTCAATTTACGTTAAATGTTTCACGTTGTTAAAAAATTGTAATTTATTATATTTTTCAAATAAGAGAGTAATATATTACTTATAAACAAATTTGTCTTCAGATTCTTTTTACGAGTGGTAGATGGGTAATTTACAAGTTAAGAAACACTACAGCTCTTCTCTTTCTAAGAAGTTAAATCCTCAACGCGTTCTGTGCTTTCAGATTTAATTCTCGATAGGAATTGAATATTCCTAACCTGCATTTTATCTGCAATGTGCGAATATTTTGAAAATTGATATGAAATTGGATAAATATTTATCCATATCAAAAAAAATTTATCCATTCCCATTCCTACCCCCATGAGTGAAAAGTAAGGAATTTCGATAAATTTAAGAATATTTCATTAAACATACGCCGGAATTAACTGAAATAATTTGGCCGCTTAATGTTTGAGCATCTGTGGTTGTAGCCTGTCGTAAAACTCGCCCCCCTTTATTTCGGACCTTGATTCATTCAAGACCTAAGCCAAAGGGAAATTCTCTCCTTTCCAAATGTGGTGTCATAAATCTTAGCGTTCCTTAGAACGGCATTTCGACTGGGGGTGGGCAAAGTCCTTTCATGCCTCAACTGCTCAACTTATTTTAATGATTTTGTGTCCTTAAGAAAGAAAAGCATGTATTCTGGAGTTATCAATTGATACTTACGAATGATTCCCCCCTCCAGCTTATTAATGTAAAAAACAGAGGAAAAAAATCTATCCGACTTTAACTTTGCCATTTTGTAATGTCAGTCGTGCTTCTAAATCCAAAATGTTTCTGTCTCTTACCTTGCCCCTTGGTACGACTGCACAGGTTGCATGTACCATCGTTTTTTACATTATGAGAACTATGCATTCAAACATGCAGATTCTTCCTTATTTAATATCTTTAGAAATAATACAGGGTGCGGTTATTTGGTGGCAACAATTAAAAAAGTTATACGCCGTTGATAGTGAAACAAAAAATACATGTTGTATTAAATTTAAGAATCATTTCCCATTAATAAATCATTTCAAATTGAATATAGGACTGATTTTTGACTTGGCATTTAATGGAAAGCTAGTAAGAGATTCCAATATATGAACAAAATTAAATGCTACCGGAATGACATATTATGAAAAAATTACGAACTGCACATAATATACACGATTTCTCTTAACTTGCAAAGTTTCCTCCAAATACCAGAATCTGCTAGTTACTTCTTTGATTATACTTAGAGAAAAAATGTCTATGATTATCGATCATAATGCGAATTATACAGAAAACAAATTAATATAAAAATAAGTACTTTATAATAAATAATTACAAATTAATTTCCACTTCCACCGCTTTTTATTTGGGATTGCAAAGGAAAGGAGAAACCTTTCCTTTAGGGGGTCGGCTTTAATAACTTTCAGTTTTGAGACTAAGGAATACAAAGAAACTTTTCCTATTTTCTTCTCACTGCTGTCCCTAAACTGGGGTAGGTCATGAAGTTATTATTTCATAGACGAATGCTGGAATTTTAACTTTTGCAAACACTTGAATTTAGCTATTTCAAGTGCTTCCAAGGGCCTCCTATCTGCGTCATTCAGAGAATTGCGTTACTGCACCATATAGGTAGGGGTCCTTAAGAACTTTAAAAAAAAACGAATCGATATCTACATATAATTAAATTGTCTAAAGTTAAAAGGAATTGGAGTCAAACAAGGCTTCCTCAATTTTAACAATCGTGTAAAGGGGTTTAAACAAAATCAAACATATCAAAATTAAAATAAGAATTATAGTAGTACAAATTCTAAAAATAAAAAAGAAAAAGCAAAAGAAAAAAAGTACAAGATAAAAAATATAAAAATAATAATTAATCTTCTTTTATTGAAATTCTAATTCCGAACTCATCAGGGAAAATTAATTAAAGCTTCTTATATATGTAATGGAATCCGTCTTTTAAGTTTATAATGTAAATGTAGTTCAGCAGGACTTTTTAAGGGCCCCTAAGCCTTCAGGCCCTATGCGATGGCATTCCTTGCATACCCTTATTACGCCACTGCCGACAGCTGTTGAATCGATTGCATAATATCACGTAGCGAAAGAATTACAGGCGCACGTACTGTGCAATAACGTTGCGATATTTTGCAGGGATAATATTTGATGTTCGATCCGAGATTGTTAGAACACTTAAAAGAGTTTTACTATGCTTGCTAAGCTAGATTATTTTTCAGTTCCGTTGGACTATTTTTATGTGATGCACATATTCGAAATGTTTTAAAAGCAATATTTAGCAGAAAAACTAAAGAAAAATCTAAACAACGGCTACAATCTATCCCCCGCCCTCCGCTCCTCTTTTTCCAATTTACACGTCGACTATCTGTAAGTTTCAGATATTCAGCAATTTCTGAGTATGCCAGTTAGTTAAGCTTTTACTGTTAAAGGATGACTGCATGAAGCAAATTTCTGTCTTCTGATTTCAGAAATGTTCCTCTTTTTTACTTAAATTTCTTTGCTTGCAATATCTGTTAAAGAAAAACTGATATACGATGAAAATTTAGAAAATGTTCAGAATTTAGATTTAAGTTATTTAAATAGCAATATGAGTGGAAAAATAAATTGTATTTATTATTAGGTTCCAAGCGAATACAATAAATATGCCTTATTATTATTTATTTTCTCTAGTTTGAACTGAAATTTCATCATTAAATCTTGTAATATAGTTTAGTTCGGAATTGTTTTTTTTTTTTTTTTTTTTTTTTTTTCTCTCATTGTAAACTAGTTCTGTAAATTGAACTGTTATTTAAAATTTAAAAAAAAAGTAATTATTTTCCATGGTTGAGGTAATGCTTATTCTCTCTTAATAAATACTGCATTTCTCATATTTTAAATTGCGAGTCTAATTTTTAAGGTTATGCAGTTGTGTATAATGTAATTAGACAGGTGCTTATTTTTTTTCTTAAAATGTGCTTGAAAAGTGCTTATAGGTGCTTATTTTTTTTAACTAAAATGTGGCTATGAACCCTGTTCAATAAACAGTATAAAATGTACATTATTAATTAATCCTTTTTTTTTCTAATTTTTAAAGCTAAAATAATTCTAAAAAACAGTTCTGAAGCTTCTATTTTATTATGCATATATTTTGGAAAAGAACTGAATTTAAATTAGGAACATTTTTATAGTTGGACATTGCAATACTAACAGTCTATAATAAAATAAAATAATTTTTTATTAAACCAGGTATATTCTAATTTGCTGAAAATTTTCTCCTTTAATAGTACACTATCAAGCAGATTTTTAACAATTATGTAAAATTAAAATTTCATTACGCCTATAGAGCATAATTTTAACAGTTCCACTGAACATTAATTTTTAACATTTCTATAGTGGTAAGCATTTGTTTTTTAATTATTTCTTCTATGGAAGAAAGTTCAAAGGTATAACTATAATTGATAATATATACAAAAACAAATTAAAAGTTATAAGGACATTTAACAGTTAAAAAAAAAAAAAAAAGACTGAGATGAAGACTAGTTAAATTTTAAATTGCCCATGAAATAATCAAATAGTTGAGATAATTTTGTGACATAACATTAATATAAAGATATGACAGAAATAATTATTGTACGCACTTAGTAAAGACGCATAATTTTGCAGTGTGATTTAAAATTCTAATAAAATTTTGTAAAAATGAAAGCAACATATTATAATACAAAGAATGACCTTTTTTTCAATGGAAGTTTACATATTTCCTTCTGTGTAACGTCCAGTAGTCTCAATCTGGAACAACTGCAATATGAAATTTTCCCTCAATGGCTAAAAGCATCTTGAAGTCTGGTCACTAATCCCTACACTTCCTTTCCTTTTGTGACAATGATGCACCCCTCTGAGAATCCATTAAACTACAAACAAGAATCTTTGTTGCAAATAGGAGGTAATTTCTTAATGGGGGGGGTTTCTTAATGGGTTTCGGTTCAAGATACCCCGTCCTTTCAAGGTTTTTACAGCTGCCAAAGCCCCGGCCTCAAAATGTTAAATGTGTGCAATGTAGTCTAGGTTTCTGTTTGTCTGTTTTAATCATATTTTTTGCTGATCAGTGTTTTAATTAGTAGATTTATTACAGGCTATATGTTTACCCTTTCATTTTCATTATATTTAGAAAAGAGATATTATTTCGATTGCTGCTACTTCAGATAAAAAATATTTAGTCTCTGCTGATACAGGACCTGAAAGTTCTTTAATAATATGGCATGCAAATACAGGGTAAGATCTGGTCTACGTTTTTAACTGTTTATTTATGTTAAAATTGCTAATTAGTGTTAGTTTCTATTCTGTAAAGCAAAGAAACATAAAAAGTATATTTATAACTTTATCTTGGATGTTGTTAGATTCTGAATGTAGTCTGCAGAATTGAACTAGAAAATGAATGGGAAAAAAAAAAAAAAAAAAAAAAACAACTAAATAACTGATTAACCTTTACTTTTCCATGAAAGTTGACCACACTTTAACAGACTTCAGGGGGCCAAAAGTTTTGTTCATTACATCTGATTTAGTAAGGTAAATAGATTATCTTACAAAAAAATTGTGAAAATTAATTGATGAATTAAAAAAGATTAGCATTTAGCACATATGAATAATTTATACAAGTGCCAGACATTTGGCCACTAAGCCATCAGCCTTGATCTTGCTTCCCAATACTTAAGAACAACAGAATTAAAAGATAATAGTTCAGTGCATTCGTCAATATGCTCCTTATCCATGGAGTGCCTAGAGTTACAAAGAGTACAGACAGAAAAGTCCTTAAGTCGAATTTAAAAAGATGGGCCTTTCAAACAATCGTGCCCACTCAAAAGACAAAATAATGCCACTGCTACAGAATGAGGAAAATCTGGAATAACTGGCTTTGAACTAGTGAGACACTCCCAGGCCTTTCCCTTAGCTTCATTTGATTGGTAGGAGGCAAACCTTCTCTTAAATTCTAATTTAATTAGGTATTTTGCAGAATTAAAAGTCATATGATTATTAGTGGTTTGTAGTCATTCCTTTCTTTGCCAGGAAATCTGGCTCTTTCATTTCCTCAATGCCACAATGAGCAGGAATCCACTGCACAACAACTGAGTCAGCCAGAGTGTTGAGAATCTTCCTACATTTGCAAATTCATTTGGAAGTGCAAAATTTATTGTTGAAGTTAGCCTGCAAAGCAGCTTTGCTATCGGACAAAATAACAGCCCAAGGGAAATTAATCTTTGGAGTGCTTAATTGATTCAGAGCAATAAATATAGCCCCAACTTCAGTATCAAAATTCGTAATATCTCTTCCCACTGCTATATAGAATGCACATATGAATAATAAATATGATTGCAAAATCATATGAAGGTTTAATTACAGTTTTATTATTTTTTTTAGTTTCACTATATGTTAATAATTTTACCTGAGATAAATTACTTCACAAACATATTATGGCTGTGATCTGACCCTTGACATATATATCCCTCTTCTGACGACAAAAATAATTTTTATATTGATTTTTTTGCTGGCATGATGAAGATTGTAAGAAAAATTTTGTCTGTAATTTTATGTCAAAATTTAAATTTCTCCCTCACATTTGATTCTATAGTTTGTGTGAATAAAAACTTATTAATGACCTCCATTACAGCTTTGGCATTCACAATTGTTAAAAATTAATTTCCTATATGTTATGCTTATTCAAAATTTTCATCAGCATCAGAAGAATTTTCGATGTAAGCATTTCTCATTTTAATTTTTGTTTTAATATCTTCATCACTTGGATCTTTGCTTATAATAACATCATTATTGCATAGTGAAAAAGTTCCATATCATGTTCTAAAAGTATTGAAATGGTAAAAAATATAACAAATAATGCTATTCACAAATAAAGCTATTTATTAATATCCACAAATAAAGCTATTTTTGAAAAGATTCTTGTTGTCTTCATTTTCTTCTTCAAATTCATTTGCTAGATGAGCATATTAAAAAGAAGGTGACTCATTCTGTAACAAGTGTCCAGGACTTTTCAGTTGCAAGCATTGAATGAAGAAGTGCTATAATCTACTTAATTATCGTACTTCTCCAAAACTTAAAACGAGCTCTTTCCTAGAATGACACTTCGAGCTTCTCACCAAGCCTTGATTCATAGGTTGCAGCATCAAACTTAGCAGTTGGGAAAGAGAAAATATTTTTAATCTATTCTAAGTTTTCAACATCTGTATGTGCAGTATAGTTGTCAATCATTCACTTGTTGCCTGAAAATTCATCTTACCTTCATAACTTTTTTCAAGTAGCTTTGATATTATCCATATATCTAACACTTAATCTTATAGGAAAGTGGAAAAATTTTCATATTTTTCAAACATCTTTACCTTTTGAGATTTTCCAGTTGTCAAAAGCCTGGGAGACTGAGTGCCTTTCATTCCGGCACACACAAAAATTGTGATTCATACTTCTGACAGTATTCCAGCAGTGCATCTTTGGTCTTTAATGGTAACATTTTGTTTGGCATCATCTTGTAAAAACCCCAACTTTGTTGGCATTAAAAATGTCTTTTTATAGATACCAACTCCCCAGTTCTCATCATGTAATTTTGAAATGCTTTTCAATTCTCTGACAGTTTTGCCTAAGGAAAATGTGCTACAGTACAAAGTCTTTAATCCGGATGTCCATAATCCGGAATGATCTGTGTCCTCAAAGTCTTTAACCCGTACGTCCATAATCCGGAATGATCTGTGTTGTGTAATCTGGACCTCAAAGCTACAAACTTTCTGCACATGTGTAACGTTTACGCATGTGCATAATGCTTTTACGCATGCGCATAATACCTTTACGCATGTGCATAATACGTTTACGCATGTGCATAATACGTTTACGCATGCACATTTAATGTATAACGCACAGTATAAGGCTAAAATTATCTAATTATCTATTTCAGTTGTGATTGCATTTATGCTGCAGATTACGTTGTTCCTTAATCTTCTAACTGGATCCTTCTTATTATTTTTTGCAGACTGTTAGAGCAATTTTATAAAAAGTAGGCTTTATCTAACTTTATATAAAAAGTAGGCCTTTATCTAACCTTTATCTAACTGGCAGATTATGGCTGGTTTGAATGGTGAACACACTTGGCAATGCTTTTCAATGTTCTTATGTTCAGAATATCTGAAATTTTTCTTAATATCCAAATTTTTTCAATGAGCAGAAATTATCAAATCTGATTTCTGTACATGGTACAACTATAGATTTAGATAAATTGTACAGTATAGGTTACAGCATTGAGACTCTTTACTTTAGGATACTCTTTCTTGTAATAAATTCAAGTCCACTCACCACAGATTACAACAAGCAAGTTAGTCAGATTCTGCCCTGTGTGAAATCAAATTTGCAAGATTATCTGTCTTTCAATGGCCCATGTCTTTATTGTTTTATATCTGACATCTTTTGAATGGTTGTTACCTTTTTGGTTGCAAAGGTTTATAATTAGTGAGCATCTTTTTCTAACCACCGTATTACAATCATGGAATCACTCCAAAAGTAGAGAGAGGTTATGTCCACTTTTAGAGTTACTTGAATCTTTTTATCAATTTCAGTAGGAGAACTGCAGCACAAAGCTCAAGATGTGGCATATTGGCTTTCTTTATGGGTACAACAGGTGTTCTTTTTTGCATAACTCCATGAGAAATCATCTGAGAGACATGAAATTCAGAATTAAGAGACAGCATTTTGTATTTAAATGATGACAAAATCATAATTGCACTAAAAATGAATACAATGCATACAGTATGAAATCAAACAAAAATAGGCTTTATTGAACTCATAGTATCGTTATACATGATTGCGTCTACAAGAGGAAGAACAACAAGCAGATGTTTCTTACTATGAGATAGGCCCTCCCCTTGCTGCAATGGTTGCTTCGAACGGTCTCTCCACACTCAGCACCAGATTGTCCAACAGATCTTTAGGTAAGACGGCCCATTCCACAATCAGCATCTGTTTCAGTTGCTGGTTGTTCCCCGGAGGATGTAATCATGCCACAAGGCATCTCCCCAAAACATCCAACACATATTCTACAGGATTTAAATCAGGGGAGCACACAGGCCAATCCATTTGAGTGATATCTTCACTTTTCAGTAGCTTCTGAACAGCAAGAGTCTGGTGTGGCTGTGCATTGTTATCCATAAAAACGAAGTCTGTTCCAATGACACCTCGGAACAGATGCACATGGGGAAGGATCACCTCCTGACAATAGCGATTTCCGGTTACAGAACTTCTGTCGAAAACGTGGAGCTCTGTCTGCCTGTTCAGGATACGACTCCATTGATGAGATGCCCAGTTTTTGCGCTTCTTACATGACTGTAAACAGTGACGTCGATGGCCAACTTTCAAAGGCATGCAGCATTCAGGACGGCAGGCGAATAAGCTACCATTCTGAAGGTGTCTGCACACAGTAAACCACGACACTTGTCGCTCTGTTGCTGTACACAGTTGTTGAACTATGGAGTTTGGTGACTGGTTTTGGGCTCTTTTTGCTTGCAGGACAATATATCATTCATCCACTGCAGTTGTTTTTCTTGGGCTGCCACCACCAACCTTTCTAACAGCCGTACCTATGGTTTGTAGGGCTTTCCAAACGTGCGAAAAGACACTTTTGTTGATTCCGAACTCTTCAGCTATACTGGTCACTCTTCACCCCTACTCCAGATTTTCGATCATTCTTCCACGTGTGAAGTCATCCAGATCATTTCTTCTATCCATATTTCATGAAAGAACTCCCTGTACTTGCAGCGAATTTAATTGCATCTCCATCCTTCCTTTTATGGTAGTCTCAAGTTGAGCGTGCCGATCATACGTGCTTTGCGTACGCTCACATAGTCTGTGACTTTTTTCCTTGACATTTGCATATGCATGACCTTTCTACTGAATTGCATGTTCATTGTACTGAATGCAATAACCCCTTTTCTACAATTTAATGGCTATCTGATTAAAATCAATAACTGTTGCTTAAGTTTTGCACACCAGTGTAGTTTTATTCATAAATTATGATATTTACTTAATCAGATTTCAGTTGGGGCCTATTTGCACATACTTTCATTAGAAAACAGGAAACGCTTTCCTTGCCTAACAAAGTTTTAACTGAATGCAACTTTCCCATATCATCATTATTGAAAATCACGGGAAGACACTTTTTGTTTTGTTAATACTTCTAGCAGTGAACAAGCTGTTACCACTGCCAGGCAGGAAGTCTGATGGGAACAGGGACTTAATAACTTTGTTCTTTATTTTTAACATCTTCAATCATTGTGTCTATTAAATCTCTCACAAATCCAGTATCAGCTTGATAAATTATAGTTCTTTTGATTAACTGATTTAATTCAGCAACTGCTGATTTATCAGATACAGCTTCTTATACAGTTTATGTTACTATAAGCTGAAGATCCCTTTTCTTACAGTTTTTAAACATTTTACTCAAACAAATAAAATATAGATATGGTTCATTTTCTTCTTACAAAACCTCTTTAAATTGTCACAATATGCTCAGGCTGTGGTTATACCACATGTGTTCCATTCATAGCTCATTCATGCACAAATAAAAATTCCTCAGTTGGACTGTATCACATTTATTATCACATAATTTAAAAGTTGCACAAATAAAAAATTCAACACACATTCTTCAGCAAATCTATGTTTCACATAATAAAAGGGATCACTCTCAAGGATCATTTATGCTCAAGGATGCTGTCTTATTTCACACAGAGCAACTGACTTTTTTTCCAGATAGACTCGATGAAGTGCATGTGCATCTCATGCTAGCACCGTCCTTTTTGACACCCAAACAGTGTACATCTGTATTGGCAATTTAATAATATCTGGTGTCGTACTATATTTGTGTTAATATAAAATTTATATCTTGTTCTGTTCTTTTATCTATTAATTGTAACTTTTTTCTCTTCGAAAAGGGAAATCTATTTCATTATTTCAGAATATTTTCCTGTAGAAGGCATAATTTGGATTTCATTTTCACCTGATGATAATTTATTAATGACTTTAAGTGGAGGTGATCCACAGGTAATGAAATTCTTTATAAATGCAATGTATAAAAATTATCCTTGTATATAATTGATTTTATTGTTATAGATGTATTTATTTCTGGGAAAAACTAGTTTAAGCATGTGTAGCATTTGCTCATTTCTGAACAAAGCTGATTTGTGTTTTTTTGACTGAGTTACTATTTTAAATTATCTTCTTTTGTATAATTTAATAATGTATTTAAGTAATACAGCCTGCTTCTCAAGCAGAATGATTTCATTCTTCCCACTTTTTTCCTTTTTTGTGTGCATGTTTGTGTATTTACATGTGTGGTTACCGTCAAGGACTCTTTTTACTGATAAAAAGGGTAAACTGTGCATTGGTATTAGAATTAGAGCATTTTTTTTTAAATGTGTACTGTAGAAATATCTTAATCTAACAGTCTCTAAGTCAGAAGTTTTTAAGCCAATTTCGTTAGTTTATTAAATCAAAATACAGTAGAGGCTTGATTACCTGGAAAATTCAGGGAATGCCGAATTCCAAATACACAAAAACTTTGGATACTTGAGCATATAAATTTTAGAATTCGAAGTAGAAGAGCCAAACGAATTGAAAGAATTTCTAGACTAAAATTATAAAAAAAGAGTCATCTTAAAATTCGCAAAGTAAATACATGGTGTAGATTTAGTCATCTCATCTTGAGTTCTTGATGGAATCTAAGCCAAACATAAGGTTGTTACTTTGGTAATTTTATGTTCCATCTCTGATGTGTTTTTCCTCTGTTTTGAGTAGACATTTTATTTGTTACTAACTTGAATATCAAAGTTCTGCATTTAAAATTATGTGTATAAGGCTTTTTGGGGAAAAGGTACATTTCAGGCATAAATGCCAATGTATTTCACAGGCCTTAAACATGAAAGTAAATTATCTTATCTGATATGAAATTCTGCCAAATATAAAAGTTGGCAGGCATGTAGCCAAACTTGCACTAGTCATTCTGGAAGATGTTTAGCTCTTTGATGGTTATGAACAAGTTCAGCTTGCAATCGAATCATGCTTCATAATACACGCAAACGAGTTCTGCTCGGGAGCAAGATTTCGACTGAAATGGTTAGAAACGAGCACTACACACGTAGTGAAATTTTTCCCCAGTGCGCGCTGACGAGCTGAGCTCGTTCGGCATTATTATTCTGCATTGATTATGTTACAAAACTGATTTGTGTTTTCCTAATAAGGAATCCTACTCGCGAAATTTAGTTAGTTTTACTGTCTACAGATGGCAGTACGGGTTCCATGAATTTCTTTTCATAATGAAGGGGGAATTTTTTTTTTTTTTTACCTTGTTCTTTTTATGCGTATTTTGGCACTTTTTTAGGGTGTTTGTAAAGTAAAATAGTTCAAAAGCAAAAGTTAGATAATTATGATGGTGATTATGATTGTGATACAGAAAGCTTATCAAGTTTTGAGTCTGATAAAGACTTTGTTCACAGTATATCAAGCTCAGAAGACGATTCAAGCGATGCGGAAATTTTTTCGAGTGTTCGACAGTGTGTAAAATTGGTTCAAGTTCTCACGCTCCTAGCCGATTTAGTTTTATTGGTTAGTTTAGTTTACGATTTAGTTTTAAAGTATATCACACACAAAAAGATTTTTAGGTAATTACTGTATTTAAATGCTTCATAAAGTTTTACATTAGTTGTATTTATTTAGTCCTTTCAATTTAATATTTGTCTTATATTTATAATTAACTATTATTATTTATATAATTGATTATAATGATTTATAATTTACTATTTAATAATTATCATTTATTAATTATTTTAAAGTACATAAAAACTGTTATTTTTGTACTACAAATACTTTTAAGAAATTTTTAAAATGCGTGAGGCGAGCTATCTACGGCATCGCCAGAGAAGGCTGACATTTTCTTAAGAACATGGGGAAAAACAGCTGCCATTTTCGGCTACTGTTTACTCGTACTACTGAGCGAATTAAGTAAACAAAAACTGCTCATTTTCCTAACCGTCAAAGGGTTAATGGAACAGATTGTTCTTTATATAAACACAATGTAGATATAGCATATAAAAACATAAATAGCTTATAGCAATTTTTCATGTTCCATCACGATTGTGTATCCATTTTTCAAGTAATGTTGCAGACTGCACCATTTTTTATGGTAGGATACTGCATGTTGTCCCATGAAAGGCAGGCATCAAATATTAATCACTTTTTTTTCAGAATGCAATGAAAAACAGAAGTTATATCCTTCTTTATAAAAATTAACTTGCTTATCAAGAATTAATTAGGTTTACACAAAATTATGCTAAATTCTTGTGATTGTGTTTTGACCTCATGCTTATTCATTTTTGGTTCTAAATCAATCTGTTTAGTGATAATGTATACATGTTAATAATGTAATGAACTGTGTAATGGTGTTACAGAACTCTGGCTTTCTTAATTTCTCAGAGAAAAGTTTTTTCCCCCTAAAGTTCTAAAATATTCCAATTGGTTGAGCTTTCTTGTTAGTTGAATGCCAGTTAGTCAGGCTTTTATTGCACTTATTTATTTACAAGTTCCTGTTTTGGGGCATTCAAGCTGTTAACCATTTTGCATCTCAATACTTCTGGTTTACAGTGAAACCTTTAAGTACAGAGCATGTGTTTAAATATTATTTGTCCACGGATTGTCCAGAGTCACAGAGGGAACACTAAGAAATTCATAAATTTGATGTAAAAAAATGAACATCAAGACAATTATGTTCGGTTAAAAGCTGGAATGATGCCATAGCTGTTAAAAACTGTACTGTCATTTTTTGCTATTTCAGTATGTGTTGGCAGTTATTATAATACTATAAAATGGGTGATAATTCAGAAGATGTTGACATTCATAAATGCATTTCTGTTTGCAAATTTTGTGGTTGCCAAAATACTAAAAACAGATTTGCAGTACAAGAGGGTGACAGCATTGCAAAAGGAGGTTTTTTTTTTTTTTAGAATAAAACTGTTGTGAAGTCAAATGAATTCTTTCCAGTGGCCTTTGAAAACTAATAGTGTCAGCTCCAACTGCTGTATAAAAGAAAAAAAAAAGTTTGCTGTGTATATACCAGCTTCACCACATGTCTCTCATTGAACTGTCACTGTGTATATGAATGTGTTAATCTTTTGCAAAATGATTTTCAATTGATTCCAGTGCAATTGACCAGATTGCAAGACCATACATTTCTTGGTTAAATAAAAATTATATGATCAGTAAAATAAAAGATAAGAAAAACTAAGCACAGTCTGTTGTTTCTAACACTCTGACTGAATTCCTGATATATTTGTTTGTAAGATATGTCATCATTAAAATAATATGCTGTAAAAATTCGCTGTTAAACGAATGTACTTTCTTCGTAATATTAGTAGTAAATTATATAACATTTCCCTCCAAAATTGTATGAAAAATTTATAAATTTAGAAAAATTGTTTGATCGTCTCAAAATTTGACATGTAAATATTTATTGGCTAGACAGTGCAAATGATAAGAAATGCGGTGATTGTTAGTGGATGGAAAGTAGACACAAATGTTCGTTATTGCGTTTATTGGCTGCTGAGAAGAACAAGTTCGTACAATAGATATACAGGTAGTTCGGCACTCACAGGCACCCTCTTGCAGAGAACAAAAATCAAAATTTACATAAGGCGCGAACAGTGATCACACTGATTTGATTTAAAGCACACAAGGGACATCTGACCCTAAAAATACGTACAAAATGCATTATTTATTTATTTTTGTTTTTATTTTTTTTTAATTTTATTTATTTATTTATTTATTTTTATTTTATTTATTTATTTATTTGTCGATTCAAACTATTTATGTACTAATGCTGCATGTGGAGTTTGCATTAGCATGTGGGAATGCTGTGAAGACCAAACCATTAGTCGTACATTCTAGTGTCACTTCATTGTCATATCAATAAATCACCTACTATATGGGTTGGAGTAATGACTTAGATGATAATGTTGATCATAGTTTTAACAATGTGTTCATCATTAGGATAAAGACAAACTTAGGTTGACAGGATATAAGATAGTGAAAGCTGTTATTCATACATTGACAGCTTTGTCCTTCAAAACCTTTTACCCATTATTTCCTGCACTGCTAATGTCTGAAACACCATTACAAAAGGTATGGAAGAAGTTGGATTTCATTGTTGATGTGTATTGCAATGTCTGCCACTAGCTCCTGGACATCAACATTTGCATATATTCTACTGTTGGTCATGCAAAGCATAGAATGCATCCATTAGAAGCCATATATTATTTAGTGGAGAATCATTATTTTTGGTTGGCATTTATACGAATCCATTCCAGAATCATTACATATTAATATGTAATAAGTCTGGGCATGATTTTGTTCAATAAATCAACTGATGTGCATTTATTCAGCTAAATCTGGGTTGATATCAAACTATTTTAGAATGAAGAAAATGTATAAATAAATAAATGAACATATAAATAAGCATATAAATAGACATGCTCCAAATGTAGTTTAATTAATATGGATGATTGCAAAAAAATTAAATTACAGAGATTCAATAATAGTCTGAAGAAATTTATATGTAAAATGAATTGTTAGATTAAAAAAATTCTTTTTTCTCGTATGTTGTTGTTGTCATAGCTTTTTCATTGAATGATTGGTATTTCGCGGAAAATATATTTCAGGGTCCCCTTGGCGAAAATTAGTGATTTTTTGGCACCCATCTTGTTTATGTGCAACACCCAAGTAAAATAGCATCTAAAACATAATACAATAAAGCATAATTAAAACATAAAAAAATTAGAAGCTCAATAAACTGCACTTCAAATCGAAATAAAACAAGGAAATAACATAAAAATGGAAATGCATGCAATCTAATCATCACAGTACAAAAAAAGAAATATTGACTTATCTTATTTAGAAATTTCTGTGTTTTCAGTCTGTAGTAGACAAAATTCCTTAACAGCATCTGAAAACTGTTTAAAATTATATGAACTAAAATCTGTATACTGCCTTTGCCACATAAATTCACAAAAATAAAAAATATCCTCTGTACTGTTGGTGGCATTTCTTTCAAAAATCCCTTTTTATTAAATCTCACATACCTTCAATAGTTTTGATATGTTCTCTGGTTACCAAATCCTTAAATCTCACTCTGTAATTTACTGAGAGGGGAACAAATCCATTTAAATCTTCATTTACACACCAGTCAATCAATGTTTTCTGTTCCATTTGTCCCAAAGCGTACAGAAATTTCAGATTAATCACCAGACACCATCAGGCATTTACAGTGTAAAGAACAAAATAAGAAACATACTTCCTAACCAACATCCAATGCATAAATAAGTCCTGAGAAATATTTTCCCATCAGTCAAAATCATTACAACCAATCACATCATAATAGGTTTCTCATAACAATTAACATAAAATACTCAGGTTACTATAAATGAAACAACTTGCTGATAAATGAAACAACAACCTGGTGTTAATCAATATAGACTATCCAATATTTCTAAGTTGTAAAGATTTGTGTGTTATATTTTGATACAAAGCTTCTATGTTAGAGAGGTAATTGCTAAACCATCCATAACTGAGTAAGATAATTTTAAAATTTTATGCAGATAAATTAATTTATCTTGGATCTATTAAAATGAACTTCTTATTTCACTTATTTCAGCCATTTTTATCAAATTAAATAAATTTCAGCAGTTTTATTTATTATTAGTTATGAATATATTATCTAATGAAACTTTTTATTATATTTATGTCTAATTAAACTTTTTATTGTATTTAGATTATACATATCTAATTAAACTTTTTACTTGTTTGTTAATAGGAACTCTCTTTTTGGGATTGGAAATCTAGAAAAAGCGTTCCAGAATTCATTTATCGTTATGTGAAGGGTGCTGAATTTCAGGTATAGCAAAGAAATAGAAATCAAATGTGAAAGAATTCAATATAATATGAAATAGTAAACTAAGTAGTTGTTCTCACCTTTTTTTAATAGCAAACTGGAAATTGTTACTTAAATCATATCAATGAAGGAGGATTCCAGTAATATACGGGAAAATTATAAGAATTATTTATAAATAAATTCTTGATTTTAAAGCAGGGTTTGTTATATTACATTATTTATCCTGTCCCAGAAATGCTGTTAGTCAGAACTGGGCTAGGCTTAAGTGGACAGCTCTTTTGTACTTTATGTGACTTATCATCGTATCTAGAAATTAGTATCTTAAGTTATTCTGGGGTAGGTACTGAAATGCAGTAAAACCTCTGAACACTAACAAAACAATGTAGTTTTTGTCTGAAGTTTAGTTTCCTCTTCCTTTTTTTTTTTTTTTTTTTTAATGTGTGTCTGGAGGATCATTGTACTTGTCAGTTTGTGGGCTCTTCTTATAAGCTCTTTCACATTAATATCATCTGTGATTCTGAAATCATAGTATCATTCATAAAAAAAGCAATTTAGATAGATGCTTTGTGGCATATCTCAGAATAATATGATTATCCTATATTTTGGCATTGCCATCTAGAGGGTATAGTGGTTAGGGAGCAATTATGATATCGAAGGTTCAAATCCCGAAGAAGGCATGGTTGTAACCCTTCATAGAAGGTAACAATGGCCACTTGTTAGGTGCTTCCACAATAAAATGGCCACCACTTCTGGCCTTAGGAGTGGCTAATGTCGAAAAAAGACAAAATAGTGCCTGCCATTTAGAAAAAAATATATAAATAATTGTTTGCATTTTAATCACTGTGGGAGCATGTATTCTAAAAGCTGATGATATTGCCCATTAAATAAGTGGATCACTTAAGACTATAAATATAATTTTTGAAGTAATATTTTTACTCGATAAGCATTGGTATTCTACTCCCTGGAAAAAAATTTTATTTTTTTTCCTCTTTGCTATGAATGGTACTGTTTATTCTGCTCTTAGATATTTTGATTTCAAGATTCTTACATCATTTTAATATTCTGCAATAGTAACATTTTTCTTCGCATTGTATCAACATGTAGCCTTGTTTAGAAAACTAATTTATATGAGTATAGTGCTCTTGAGCATATAAAAGCTTAATTGCCACAGATAACAATTTTTCATTCGGTGTAGAAGCTGTTGCAAATAAATTTTTTATGCATTGTTTGTTTCAGTTTCTTGTTAAATTAAAATTATTCAAAAATTGTGCAAATGACCTCTTTATATTGATTTTCCTCATTTAATATTAGCATTTACAAGGATGACGCAGTTTTTTATTAATAAATGGTGCAGGTGAAATTGGTTCTTCAGCCTCCTGCAAAAGGCTTGGCTTATTGTGTACTGTCATTTTCCCCTTTTTCATGGATGTAATTTTGCTTTTCATTTATGGTACACCTTAGATAGAGCTCTCAATAACGAGATGGTTAAATGACCGATGAGTTTAGTCCTTCCCATTGAATATTTAAGAAGCAAATACCTGGTTATTAAGGAGCAAGGGAATATAATGATAATTTAGATTGTTAAGGAAAAGGAAATGGCTGTAAATTATATATTGTTAAGGGAAAGAAAATGAAGATAAATTGTGTTCAATATTTTAGTTTAAAAAGTTAATGAATGTTTAATTTCTCTTGAGCTGTTATTTATAATAATACATATTGTAGCTTGAGCCTTACTGTCTGAAACTCTGAAATACTTGTATTTCTTATGCAGCATTGCGAAAGGAAGCATTTTGTACCTTTCTGCCTGGTTGCAATTGCATAGCAAACAGTTTAATCACCATATGCAAAGAAAAGAAATCTTTCTAGCATATTTCAGCTGCATTTCACCTTTCCATGAATAAAATAATGAAAATGCAATCACAAAAGACAATAAAATGTTCCAATGTTGTTTAGTTATCCAAGCATTATTTTCTGTCTGCTCTAATGATGCATTTCATTTTTAACCATAATATTTATATATTAAGATATTTAAAATCATTGCTCATCAATTGCATGTGTTAGAGAGGTAAAAAAGTCAAGAATTATGATGATGAAAAAGCTGAGTACATGGATCACTAAAATAATGATATGATCATTTTGTAATGACTAAATTTGCATGAAATTTATAGCATGCATCATATCATTATAAATGTTACATGAAATTATCTTCAGACAACTTGCATGCAAATTGTAAAATAAGTTTTAGAATATGAAGTATCAAGTGTGAATGTTATTTTCTCCTATTTATTTTATTCAAATTTAAAATATTTTTCAAAATGTAAAATGCATTTTAATTGAACCAGCTGATGTCTCTGCTTACATTTGTATATGGTATTGCTGTTTGGGCTGTGCGATTGTTTGTAAAACACTTTTTTTTAAAGTTTTATTTATTATATTTTAGGAATCATTCTTAATGAACTCTAATTTATTGCATTATCGAAATAGTATAAAATAGCAAAGTTATGTATCATAGCACTTCTCAAATTGTCATAAAAGATACTTGCATTCAATGTTTTAAAATAATCATTCTTAAAATCCTTTTAAAAGTAAAAAAAAATAATCTAAAAATGTATTTTGGGAAAATGGTAGAGGCAAAAAATATTTAGATGTACTCACAGTATGAACAATACTGATTTAGATGTACTCACAGTATGAACAATGTATTTTGGGAAAATTGTAGAGGCAAAAAATATAATACATTATATACTTGCATTCAATGTTTAATTCAAAAATTTCAGAAAATATAATACATTATATTTTTAAAAAGAAGGAGAAAATTCTAAGACTCCTGCTTTTTTGTCTTCTTTTGCCTTTTTGGAGGGGGTCGTTTTAGTTATATAATAGTAAGCAGTATAACAATAGTAACAATAATTTAACATGTTTTATATGATATTTTATCATTCCCATGGTATATCTGCTTTTGAACATACACTTTCAATAATTCTACTTTTATATGGAATGATTAATCCTGTAAATGCAATAATTTTGAGGCCTTAATCACATTTAACTATTTAGATGTACTCAGTATGAACATGGGCATAAAAATATATGCAACTTAGACATATTAAACAGATTTTAATCTGATTTCTATGTGAGAGTTATGTATTTAAACACTGTTTTTTAATTATATAAAACATATTACTTGAGAACTGAAAAATTAAATATGAAAGACATTAATTATAGAACTGAAAAATCAAAGTTAAATTACCGTAATTTCCGGAAGAAACGCCACGGCGTTTACGTGTTTAAAACTTAAATTTTCAGCGGGTGCGGCGTTTCTACCCATGCGGCGTTTAGGTGCACTAAAAATAAAATATTTCCTATGATGGTCATTGTACATAGTTTGGATGGCCTTGTCATTGTGCATAGACTGCTGTTCCCACACAAAAGACCACTCAGTTGCTTTTTGCGAACGTTATTTTGTTTACATTCTTTTTTCCCTTGAACAGACCTACATGCCTTATTCACCCTAAACGAGATCTCAGAACAATAACATTCTTCCCCCTTTCAAATCAACATTCTCATCAGTTTGAATAGTCTCTCTCCTCTGCCATTCGATGAATCTTCCAGGACCCATCCTCTCCCCATCTCCCTGCCTTCTCCCTCATCAATCTCCCTGCCTTTTCTGCAATTTTTTTCAAAGGCGGACACGACTCCACCTGCCTCGAAATAACGAACTCTGACGTATTTCGCCTTCAGCATGAATGGATTTTTCTTGGCATTCTGCCAAATACAGATCCCATCAGTTGGGTACAAGTACTTGTTGGATAGTTTTTAATTAGGGAGCGGAAAGTTTTTGAAAATGTCTTTAAATGGCACAGAAGCTATACATTTCTTACCTTTAATTTATTTTTGAGTTATGGTTTCATTTCATGCATTTTTCTTAACTGGTATGACATATATCAGGACTTAGGTTGAGTTTTTGCATCTATGCGGCCCACGACGATGTCACGTGCAATTTAATCTATTGCGGTGTTTCTGTGTAATTTTAATTTTTTTCCCGCCATTTTTCTCGAGTGCAGTATTTACGCTGATGCGGCCTTTTTTCCGGAAATTACGGTAAATCAAAGTAAAATTAAAATTTTTCTAATCTTTGCATAAAAATTCTCAATGACTACATCACTTTCATCTTTCATAGTTATAAATTAATGAGTATTATGGATTTTCATTTAAAACTATTTTAATTCTTTCTTCTAGCATTATGCCAGTTTTCATCCTACAGATGTTTCACATTTTGCAACTTGCAGTAGAAATAATGTATATTTTTTCCACAAGGTATGTGGTGAAGAAAATGTTAGCTGTCATATTATAAAATTCTTTATATTCATTTTATTAATATTCAGTACTTTTGTGTTACTAATATATTATCATTCTTTTTTGCTTAGGATGGAGAATTAATATCCTCAGTGCTTGATATGTGCAATCTTTATGATGAAGTACTTAAAATTGTTATTATTAGTAAAAAAATTCTAACTGTACTTTTTAAATTGAATTAATGATTTAACTTTAACAGTATAAATAGCAATATAAGTACATAACATGTACAATAAGTAGCAATATAACAATGTACAATAAGTAGTAATATAGCAAAGTACAATAAGTAGCAATATAACAGTGTATAATAAGTTGCAATAAAACAGTGTAGGATACGTAGCAATATAAATAACTTATCTTAAAATTGAGAATTGTCCACTTTTAAAATAATGAAATTTAAAAGAATCCAGAAGGAGAGTTTTGAGTATTACTTTTAACTGATAATTGTTGTTATTAGTAAAAAAATTCTAACTGCACTTTTTAAATTGAAGTAATGTAATTTGGAGTATTACTGGATAGATAAAATGTTGTCTCTGCATGTGAGTCAATGATAATAGTGTAGAAATATTAAATTTCTGAAAGCATTTTTAAAATGTCATTTAATTGTCAAGTTAAAAAAAAATGCTACAAATTTATATTTGCTAATAATTTTTAATATAAAAATTGCTTGGCAAAATTCTGTTAAGGAATTTTTAAATTTGGTAATTTTTATAGCCTATTTTGACTATTCTAAGGCCATCTTCAGACTATATTTTGGAAGCCAAAGGATGGTTGAAAATCTTAAAAAAATAACTACAATATTAATGATTATTCTTAGCCTGAGCAATTTCCATTTAATTATATTTTGATAGTTGATTTAAAATTCTAATATTTAAAACCTGCTTTTAAGATTTGTTTAATATGTTTAGGTTATCTTTTTATGTCATGTTCTTCTTTTGTCCATTTTAGGATATACTTTCCTAACAAATAATTCTTAAAATTGCAGTTCTATTTTCATGATTCACATTTTTTTATATTTTAAAACTTTTTTCCATAAATTATTTCCTTACTAAAGTTTTGAATTAAAAACTCTGTTAAAAATATAGATATTTATGATATTTTTATTTGTTGTTATCTTTTTGTTTATTGGTAGTCACAGTTTACTCCAAATTACTATCTGGAATTGAAAACAAGCTGCTTCAATCATTCATTTTGTTTCATGATGTTTTAAATGAAAAGATAGCAAGCAATTTAATTTCAAGTAATATTTTATAAATTGTATTTAAATTTATAATTATCGTTTTTACTACTATAGAAAACTTTACATCAGGCTGGAGAGTTTTCTCAAACAGTTTTTATAACCACATCATCATTAGCAGTAACAGCAACTACAAGTGGCAGGATTATTCTCTGGGATAGACCAATGTATAGCAAATGCAGAGCAGGTTTAATTAATATTATAGTTAGTAACTTCTGCATATGTTAAAATTAGTTTTAATTCAACATTAAAAATTGAAAATTTTTATTTCTTGCAGCTAATCATTTGAAAGAAAGGTTGTTTTTGGATCCTAGGCAACGAGTGTGTATACGCATGCTACAGATTATGTCTTCACAATGTGCTATACCATTTTTAGGTATTAGTGGAAGTTATATAATTGCTGGAACAGCTCAAGGCAAAATTCATTATTATGACGAAACTTTCCATGTAAAATGGTAATATTTAAAAATATATATTTGTTTGCAACTCAAATTTAGCTGACTGTATCTTTTTTTATGAACATTCTATTATAAGTTAAAAAGTAGAGAAAGTACTTATTGTTCAAAATGTTGTTTACAGAAAATTTTAATAGTACTAAACCGTAAATGCTTTTTATATCTCTGGCATATGTGTTCTTTAAAAACAAAATTCCAGTATATGCCACCATACTGCACAGTAAAATTAACTTTAATTACTGAAATACATATATGTATGTAGGGAACTGCATAATGTGTTGTTATGGAACTTAAAATAAAGTTGGTATCCTATTGCAAGCTACTTTCAGATTTACTTCTGATAAAAAATACTAAACAGATGTCTGAAGGTAAAATTTAGTTTTGATTTTTATTTTAGTGCATTTTCAAGTGTGTATTTTTATTATATCCAGTGTGCAGCTGGTACTGAAAATGGGCAATAACATATAGCATTATTTGGTATGCTTAGTAATGACCAACAGCTGTAATGAACTGATATAGGTAATAGCAAGAACTTAGTGAGAGATACAGGTACACTAACATTTGAGCAAAACTTTTTTTTTTTTTTTTTTTTTTTTTTTTCTTGAGGTATAGACTAACAATTACTGAAATACCATTGTTGACCATAAGACTATGCACATAGTCTCTATTTGTTCCACCCAATGGACATAATATGACTACAATGGTGCTTTTATCAAGTTATGGTTCCAACAATTTCAGACTGGTATGTGTTGACATAATATAAAGAAAATCATCTGAAGTTTTGGACCCGACATGCCTAAATGCAACAGAGGGTAGTGGCTGCGGATGTTTTGAGGATGTTTATAACTGTTGTGTAATAGAATTCCAGTAATGTTCTGAAACATCATTGGGGGAACATCCATGTGATCATACTCATGTCTTTTGCGTGCTTATTCAACAGGACAGTATACCACTATAAGGATCCTTCAACAGAACATGTGTGTGATACATGTTTTTTCCGTCATAGATTTACACTGTTGTTGAACCAGAGAATTGTAGACTATTACTTGGGAGGTATGTGATACATATTGATATTCTAAATAATCAGCATTCTTGCAAAGGCTGCGCTATCATATTGTTAGATTAAATTAATTGAAAGGACAGATAAATTATTAAATAAGTGTCTGGCTTATAAGTATGATAACATATTTACTATCATGAAAAAGTAGACCTGCATTGCCATGATTGTTTTCTATATCATTTTAGTTTTTCCTACCTCTCTGTCTGTTGTTTGTTTGTAAGTGGAAAGGTAGGTTTGATATGGTACTTTTTTAAGCATGTTAACAGTTTAGTAGAGACATTTTATTAAATAGCATGTAAATTTCTTTATAATAATGTGCCAAATTTTCCTTTTTCTTCAAACAGATATGCCTGACATTTACATGATACTAATATAATGTGAGTTAATTATATATTTTTAAGCTAATTTTAATTATAAAAATATCACTATCTATTTTATTATCAGTTTGATTATATACAAATTCATTGCTTAAATGTGCATAAATGGAGAACTTTTAATGTTGTAAATAGATAAATTAGTAAAAAGTAAATAACTGTTTCAAAAATTTTCAAACCTTTTGCAGTTAATCATTCCTTCAAATGTTAATGCATGTTGATAAAATTAGATTGCATCAAATCTTGTAGGTCTTAGACGTTTTACCTTTTAAATACGTATTAATTTATTGGATTGATGTGAAAGCTCATCCCATATTTTTAGGTAAAAAAGAAGATTGAATAAAAGAAAAAGGTAACATAAATTAATGTTCACATAATCGCTTATATTTAGTATGACCTCTTGCCATCTGCCTTGTAGTAGATTAATTCCTCACAGATAAAACTCATCTGTTTTGGAATAAAAAAACTTTTGCAATGCTCTTTTCACATCTTGTGCATCATCCAAGGTTTGGAAGACCAAGTTGTTTTAAAACCTTTGGAATACCATCTTTCACATTTGAAAAAGAAGGCAAGTCTGAATGAGCAAAATCCAGAAGAAAGGTAAAATTTATTAACCAAAGTCTAGTAATTTTTCCTGATTAATTAAAACAGCATTAGATCTGGAATTTCATGCTAAAAGATAATGCCTTGGTGACTGACAAGGGCTGGTTGCTTACATATATGTTTTTGTCTCAGTTTGTCTAACTGTTGGCTGTACACGTCAGAATACACCAAAGAGCCATTACATTATGACCACCCTCCATCTGTAACAGTGGGCGCGCCCAGGAACAAAACCACAGTGCGTGCGCAGATGATGTTAGAGTATAGAAAGTGGCTATGCATTGTCTTTCCAAATGTAGCGCGATTAGCATCATAATGGAAAAAGCAGCTGATTTATCAGAATTCAATATAAGTCAAATCGTTATGGCTTGGCGACTGGGAATATCAATATCAGAAACAGCGTATTTAGTGGGTTGTTCACATGCAGTTGTTGTGAGCATATATCGAAAGTAGTGTATCGCTGCCCAGCAGTGTGTTATTGACAGTGCATTGATTCTGGAGAAGAGCAGAGATTGCTACTTAATGTTCACTGTGAACAAAGAGCTACAACAGCCAAAATCAACACCAGTTACAACGGTGGTGACCCAGACAGTGTTTCTCAACACACTGTGCAATGTACATTGTTGTGTATGAGCCTACGCAGCCGGAGGCCGAAGCATGTCCCTGCACTGACGGTATGTCATTGGTAGCTGCATCTGCAATGGGCCAAGAAACCTTAGAATGGAACATTAGGAGAATGGAGGAAAGTTGCATGGTCTGACAAATCACGTTTTCTGGTCCATCACATTGACAGCCGTGTGTTAATATGGTGATTTCCAAACGAAACCCTGGCTCTCATGCACAGTCGGAAGGAAACAAGCCGATGGCAAGGGTATTATGGTGTAGGCAGTTTTTTCATGGAGCACATTAGAACCCATAATCCCCATAGAATAATGCCTCATATATGTGCGCTATGTGAACATTGTTGTAGACCAGGTTCACCCATTCATGACAACAGTCTTTCCAGCCGGGGAAGGTGTTTACCAACGGGATAATGCACCATGTCATAAAGATCAAATCGTCAGGGAATGGTTGAGGAACATTCCAGTGACTTTCAAGTCATGTGTTGGCCCCAAATTCACCTGATATTAATCCAATAGAGCATTCATGGTCCCAAATGGAAAACCAAATTCATGCATGCTTCCATGCTACCCCCTCGCAATGTGCGGGTATTGCAGGACCAGTTGGTGAGCGTTTGGTACCAGATATCTCGGACTACCTATCAGCACCTTGTGGAGTCAATGCAATGCCAGATGCTGGCAGTTTTGAGGGCTAAAGGTGGTCCTTGGATCTTGGATCATATCTTTGTTTCTGGCTTCAATTACTAAAAGTTCTAATCAGTAATTAATTAATCATTATACCCAAGGCCATTAAAAATTAAAAAAAAAGAGGTGTATGTTATTAAAATACACCATGCCCTAAGGCAAAATCAATACTTGAGTAAATTTAGTAAATAAGCATTTGAAGGAATAATTAAGTAATTGATGGCAAGTTGATGGCAGCAATTTTATGGCAATAGGCAAGTAACCTTTGGCGATGCATGAGCAGGAGAAAAGCAACCTTTATCCATGGCAGCAGCAGTTGAAATAAATGAGTAGCTAAGGTAAGTGAGACATTCAGGTTGGAGACACATGACTAGCCCGAGCTATGTGATTGGTCAGAGCACTATTATGGGTGCCATAAACTTGAAGTACAAATTTGCATTTAAATAATGCTAAAATTTTACACACACAGTTAATAATGTAGTAATCCTAAAGATTTGAAAGAATAAATAAAGTCCTTTCTTTCTAAGTAATTGAAAATTTAAGTTGAAAAATAGTAATAATAAATATATACAGAACAAAGTCCATCAGCTTTGTCAGTCCCATCTTTGCAAGGTAACATAACACTTAAACACAGTTCTTGAAATATTAAAAATATATGCAAATTTACACTACCAACATAACGCATTATGATGGGTAGTTCAGTGGCATAATGTAATGGTCCTTCGATGTAAATGGTTTGGTTACATGGATCTCAGTGGATTATCCCCTCATATCTGACCATATATATAGCCTTTTTGGGATGTAATCTTTTCTAGATATGAGAAGAGCAAGTTCTACTACATGACACCCAGTCTTTTGACATTAAGTGCTTATATTAATTCCTTTACAGTTATATAGGTGGCATTTGATATGGCTTGGCTCAAAAATCTGCTCAGAAACCACTAATGAAATCTGGAAACATGGTTGATTTTTACAGTTTCTCTCTCTATTCCTGAATGACGATACATGTTATAGTCAAATGCATCTTCCACATACACTTGATGAATGTTTTGTCATGCTAGGGCTGCAGTACTACTTCTGTCAAACAATGCCTGCTATGCTTTGTCATTTTAAACTTTTTTTTTTTTTTTTTTATCAGCTTTTACTTTTATACAGTCAAAAGTCTTTAATCCGGACTCGTCGGGACTTCGGCGATTCCGGATTATAGATCATCAATTTAAATCTGGTAAGATGGCATGCAGAAATTATAAAATTAAAAATATGAAACTGTAATTTATGAAATAAAGAACAATTATGATCTAAAGGTTATCAAAATTTACAAAAAAAAAGCTTAATATTTATTTGTTTACTTTATTAAACATTTTTTTCAACACGTACATGAGTAAAGCATACATTATGCATAGTCGAAATTAGAAAATTGCAACCAGAAAATTATTTGATGTGTATTCGTGATATTTATAATGATAAGGAATTTGATTTAAATCACGACGGAGTACATCGAGATGAAATACTACATTTAGTAAGGAATTATAAGCCGATAAGCCAAATAAAATAAAAACATCTGCCCTGAAGATGAGGATAGTGCTGACAGACCAACTTCCAGTTCATTGTGCACCGCGACGTCCCCCCTTCCCCCGCAGAGCAGCGTGAAATTGATAAAAAGATTCCAGAATGGTTCGTGAAACAAAGGATATGCCTTTATCCATTTTTTTTCAGCAATCCCACTTTTTGTTTGATGGATATTGAAACATGCTTTCGCTTTGTAGATCCTTTGACAGCTCCAGAATCGTAAATTCTTTTTGACATAATCAAAAGTTCAAGCTTACTTTTATAAAATTGCTCTAACAGTCTGCAAAAAATAATAAGCCGGATCCAATTAGAAGATTAAGGAACAATGCAATCTGCAACATTAACTGAAATAGATAATTAGATCATTTTAGCTTAGCTTATACTGTCCGTTAAACAGTATACATTAAACTTATACATTAAACGCACATGCATAAACGTATTACGCGCATGCATAAATGCATATGCTACATAAATGCCTACACATGCGCTGAAAGTTTGTAGCTTTGTAGTCCAGATTATAAATCATTCCGGATTATGGACATCCGGATTAAAGACTTTGGACTGTATAACTTTACTAACTTATGATATACTCTAAGAAGCATGTTACTTTTATACATTATCTGCTTGCATGTTTTTTTCACTGAAAACTTCAGTCATCACAGTGTGACGTAGGATACTAAATCCACTCATAATTTAAATCCCCTCAAAATGGGATGAACTTTTGCATCAACCCATTATTTCTTTGTATACTGGACCTTACTTTATCATAATATTAATGTAATCAGGATGTATGAAATCAAAATTTAACTGATATTATAACATATATTGCAACTTATTATTCAGCAAATTGATATGTGCTTTTTGTATGTTAGTTAATTTTATACATTAGTATTTGGAAGTTATTAATTAGAATGTAAAGAAACTTAAAAGAGTATTTGTATGATGTGATAACAACTGGCTATATGGTATTATGTTTGTGATATTTATTTATTTATTTATTTTTGAATTAGGTCACTTGATGCTAGAGAAGGATCAGTGAATTCTGTGTCATTTAATTTCAAGCACGATCTTGTTAGGGAAATGTAAGAATTTTTGTTATCTTTAAAGACAGCCAGGAAGAAGAGTTTTTTGAATCTATAATAGTGTTTCTTGTGACCCTTAGCATTTTCAAATTTTAATGCTAGAAAAATGCAAAGAAGCATAATGTATCACATTGACATGTTTTCAATTAATTTAGTTATTACCAGTTTAAGCTTTATGATAATTTTTATAAATATTGACATATTAATTTAGCAGTCAAACAACAAAAATGAGCTTTATATTTCCAAATTTTTACAGGACTAGTTTCGATGGTTTTACGAAACCATTATCCTCAGCTGCCAAGGTGAAAAATGGCTTTGGCATCTGAGGATGATAGTTTGGTAAAACCGTCGAAACTAGTCTTGTGAAAATTTGGAAATATATTGTTGATTTTTGTTGTTTGACTTCTAAATTAATATTTTTTCGGCATGTTATTTTACCTTAATTAATGTTGACATAGTCAAGATCTCTTATAATTTAATTTAGAAATCATTTAAAATGTGTAAAGGAGTAAATGTGTAATTGAAAGATATGTGTAACAGAAATTATTGTTGCTAAATGATTGAAAGAATCATGTGCATTATATATTTTTCTTATTATATTTAGTTAATTGTGTTAAAACTGCATTTGATTCTGCATATGTTATAAAATATTTTTACATGAAATTAATGCAATGAATTTTCCTGAATGTTAGCTGAGGTATTGTAAATTATAAAATTAGTGTTATTTTTATAAATAATTAGTTTAAATGAATATTTTTGAATCTAATATTTCTGTTTAGTTTAATTTGTAGCATATAATATTACTTTGATAGTATAATATATTCATACTAATAAGATTTGCTCTATTTTATAATCTTAATGCTTAAATTGGAAGAAGTACGTATGGGAATATTATTATATACTTTAATTTAGCTTCTGAAGTACATTAAACAAATTCATGGATTCCATCAAATATTTCCATCTGTTTCGACATCATTGAAGTAATCAGTTACTTCATCTTCAGCAGAACAATTATAATGATTACTGTGTTTTAAGACATATTAAATGTAAAAGACAGTTTGTCTTGCAAATATTTCACAATTTATATTATTCCTAATTTTAATTTGTAAAGGCCATGTGTTAGGAAGTTTTATTTTTTGTCTCTAGGCAACTGTTACAGTAATAAATGCATTTTAATAATAGTTTGGGTTTTATTAAAATAAATGTATTTTTTTAATAGAACTGCACTTCAAATTAGAGATGGATCTGAAGCAAAAAACAAGCTTCTAGAGGAAAAAGATTTTATTCTGTGTACTACTGAAGGATATGTGGGTTATTTTTCCATTGAAAATAAAATTCTTAAACCTGTTTTGTATGGAACACCTCATATTGTAAAAACTATCACTGTGCATCCATGGCAGTGAGTAGCTTTTTCAGTTTGATTTTGTGCACATAAAACTAAATTTTACGTCATTCATATATTTTTATAGTTACTGTTTGGAAACATATTCTGAGCAGTCAAATTATTAAGTTGTAGGGACTTATATTTATTTTAAATAACTAATTTTATTTAATTTGTTATTACTTCCGATAAGCCTTCATTCCCCTAATTGTCAATGCCAGAATATTTAAATTTGGTAGCGTGTGTGAAGGAATGCAAATTCTACCTTGTGAAGAAAGATTTTAAAGACCGAGGTTCAGTAGGAAAGTTGGAGAGAGTTAGGCTATTGCTGTTACCTCTGTTGCATAAGCGTCTGCTCCCAGAGTTATTGCTGTTTCGCATGGCTTAACTGCATTTACTTGCTGCCACTAGTTTCGATGCAGGTGTAAGACACAGGAATTATCTGAGCCCTGTAGCTTAGTTCTATGACTTGTGCATATCTGCGAATTTTTAGTTTAGTTCTGTAATCTCAGTTACCGCCTAAGAAGAGGCGTAGTGTGTTAGCGTCAAGTTGATGCATTGTAAATTTTAAAGAGTGTAATAAAGGGTACTTTTAACCCCCTCTTTTCTGTGCAGTTACTAGTCTTACAGTTCTCACACTGAAGTGAACTCTACAAAGTATTTAAAATGTTACTATAAAGAAGTATTAGATATACTAAAACTTGTTCTTAATTACATTTTTTATTGTTATATGATACCAAAATTGGTGAACCTTTCAAATGATTTTATTGACACTGTGCTTCAGATTACTTGTTCTAGTCTGTTAGTTTCTTCAACAACTTGTCAGTAACTGAGTTTTGTACTTAGATGGCATTTTTATTTTCTTGATAATATTACTAATGCACATTCATTTGTGCAGAACTCTGGCTGACTAAAACATGTGAACAGTGATTTCTTTTCATTTGCTGATGGTCACAACAAAGCACAGCCACATTAGTATTTCATTCCCATCTTTATGTTTCATGTTAGTTATGCATGTCTTTGTTTTATCCATGATACCACATATGAGCTTTAATTTTAACATTTTATATATAGAAGTATTAGTAATAATTTGATGTGTACTGTGTACAGCAAATTACTTTTGAAGCACTCAAGCAGGCATTTCTCTTACTGGATCTTGAAGCAGCCAAAATGCACTTTTAACATCAACTAAACAAAAAGTAAACACATGTTTTGCATTAAAATCAAAATTTAATCATTCTGTTAAAAATTGATGAATATAAGTTTTAAGTGTTGAGTGTTTCACATATCTTGGCTCTGTAATTAATATAGAGAACAATATCTGACCTGAAATTTCTAACAGTGTAACACTTACTAATCAGCTCTTTGGTTTAAAGAATTATTTGAAACCAAACTTTATGAAAAGAGTAACTAACCTGACAATTTATAAATATTTAATTATATCTGTTTTGATATGTGAAGCTGGAACCTGGCCAGTAATTGAAAAGGAAAAAGAAATACTTAAGTCTTTGATAGAAAGATTTTGATGAACATTATTGTGGATAATCAGATAAATAGTATCTGAAGAACCTTAATTTGTTGGATATATTGGTATCTAGACATTATAAATTTTATAAGCACCCAAAGGTTAAGATGAGCTGAAAATAGAACTACCAAAAAAAATTCATATACAAGCCGATAGGTAAACTAAAGAGAGGGAGACTGAAATTTGGATATTTAAGACTGTCTGTGAAAGACATTATCTAACTTAAAAATCATTAATTGGAAGACTGAGGCCAGTAAGACAGCCTGGAATGAAATTCTGAAAAAGGCAAGGGCCTGTCATGGGCTGTCGAGTCATTGAAGAAATATATAGCAAATTAAGCTGTAAAAACTAGTTGAAATCTCTGTATACCCATTATGCACAAAAAGGTTAAATCAATTGTTAAGAATAAAATTCTATAGCAGTTATGATAATAATTTCATACCGTTTTGATAAAGAGAAAGGAAAAATAAATGGAATTTAAATTGTACATCTCAAGAAAGGAGAATGATTATTTTCATGCATAAATTTTACTTCTGGAAAATTAAATATATAATCTGTATGTGGAAAATGATTAACATTTTAAGTTTGTGAATTTCCTTTCTTATCATGTTAAGAAAATTTTAATTGTATATATATACTAATTTAATGTAATTTTTATAGCTTTTAGGATTATAAGAAATTACATTCTTCAAAAAAGTTAAATTTTTAAAGAAGTTTGATGACAGAGTAAAGTTTTAAAGTATAAAACTATGCAATTTAGTTTATGAAGAATAGATGGAAAATTAAACAAGAAAACATGTCATATTATTCAGATTTTCCGAAGTGATTAAATAGAAAAATTTTATATTTAAGTCAGAATAGAAAATGATGCACTTCTGTTATTAGCAACAGTTATAAAATAATACAAGTTGGATTAATGAAAGTTATTTAAAAAAGTATGCTTTCATATCAAATAAAATTTTTTGGGGGGTTCATAGTATAATATAATATTATACTATGAACCCCTATGATTATGTAATATTATATTACATAAATTTGTCAGTGATTTTAATTTGAATTTACAGCATCAGCATTTTGTGCATAATTACTTGTGTAAAGAAATATATTTTTAATGCATATAATTCATTCATTTGAAATAAATTAATTTAATCATTCTTATAATGTGAATTTGTGTCACTGTCATTTTGTGCATTATTATATGTGTAGAGAAATACAACTTTTAATGTACATAATTCCTTTTTCATTTAAAATAAATTAATCTATTAATAATCTTTTAACAGTGGTTTTAATTATATCATATTTATATTGAATATGAAATTACATTTACATTTTATCCTGTTACTAAGCATACTTTTGAAATTGTAGAATTTTATCACAATTGTATATATATATTATATTATATTGCCAATATAATTTCTTTATTTTACTTGTGCCCAAATATATATTTTTAAAATATAGTTCATATTTTAAAGAAATTTCTGTAATATCAAACGCAGTTATGTGCTATTATTTTACATTCATGTCTCTAAATTGTTTTGTCCAATCTTTGGAAATAATATACTGTGCATCTGTAAGTTTTAGAGGTAAATTTGCACAAAATGAAAATTAAGAAATAGTATTCTTACTTCTTAGCTTTCAGCACACTATTCTTGTAAGTGTATACAAGGCTTGGCATGCTCATACAGTTTTTAGAACCGTTTTCCTTTGTAGAACTAAATTTTTGGAATACTTTAAAGTCTCTTGTTACAGTTTTTTTAAATATATATATATATAGTGCTATTAAAATAATGATATTTAACATGAGACTTCATTTTAGAAAACGGAAAGTAGTATCCAGAGACCAAATCAGCTAACATGGTGATTAAGAATCATGAATTTTTCGCATGCTAGAAACTGCTTGTCGAAAATCAAATTGTGTGATGGCACATTATTGTTCAGTAGAAACTGGTTATTCAGTCTGTTGAGCTTTTTAGTACTTGACACTCTAAACTTCAGAATCTTTTCATTATAGCTTTATGGAGTTCATTGTCTGACTCTCAATATTTACAATTCTTTGGGAATTACCCCTTCCTAATCTAAATACACTCTTCAAAAGTGAAATTGCAACACCAAGAAAAAATGCTTGTAGCGTCATGCAAATTACAGGGAGAGTTGCGAGATGGATATGCAAATGATTGAAAAAACAGACACATAAAACTATTACTGTACAAAGTCTGTAATTCGTATCCGTAAATGTAAGTCTGTAATCTATTATCCAGAATGATCTATAATCCGGACCTCAAAGTCACAAACTTTTTTTTTGTATGCTTTATGCATGCACATTTAATGTTACGCATGCGTGTTTAATGTTTACTCATGCGTGTTTAGCACAAAAAACGAAGCAACTTAAAACTTACATTGAAAGAAATGTTTAATAAAGTAAACAAATAAATAATGCTTTTTTTTTTTTTTTAATACATCATGTTGCTCTTTATTTCATAAATTACGGTTTCATATTTTTATTGGTAATTCTGCATGCCATCTTACCAGATTTAAATTGATGATCTATAATCTAGAAAAACCCTTAATCTGGAATCGCCAAAGTCCCAATGAGTCCGGATTACGGACTTTGTACTGTATAAACCAATTTATTCAGTATCTCATGTGCCCACCTCAGGCAGCGATAAAGGTCGCAGTCTGGCGAGACATGCTATCAATGAGTTCACTGATGGTTGCCTGAGGCAGCCTTTCCTAAGCCACATCCACTGATGCATGCAGATCATCCAGGGTTTGCGACCGTGGTTCTCGGTTTATGTCACGTCCAATGACATCCCACAGGTGTTCAATGGGATTCAGAGCTGGAGAGGCTGCCGGCCAGGGTAGGATGTCAGATCCAGAGTACGCTGTGCAACTTGCAGCTTGTCATTTTCTTGCTTAGTCTTGCTGGACTGTAAGTATTGCAGAGTGTTGGGTGTGCCCTGCAACTAGGGCAGAACAACAGGCTCCACAACTTTGGTGACGTAGCGGTCCTCTGTCAAACTGCCGTTAATGTGTACCCAGGGATGTCTTGTGATCAAACATTATGCCTCTCCAAACCATAATGCATGGTGCAAGACCGGTGAAATGCTCGGCAAAATGGGCTGTTTGTTCTCTGGGTCGCCGCTATATCCATCGATGGCCGTCATTCCTCCACAGACAGAAACAAGATTCATCCATGAACAAAACCCAGTGCCATTCGATGGTCCCCGCACTATGATGCTGGCACCACACTAGACCTTTGTTCAGCAGTCAGTTCAGCCCTGTGGCTGGTACCCGCAAATGTAAGTATGATTCATGTAATCTATTTATATAGTTTGGGTGGACACAGATGCACCTGTTCCTGGAGGCAACCAGCTTTGGATGTCACGTGACGTGGATAAAGGGTCTCCAATAGTTGACTGCTGCATACACTTGTCTCTGCGCTCTGACGTGCAATTGCGCATACCACTTCCTCTTTGATAAGTGCGTACACCTTCCTGGAATCCATCATGTGATACAATGTTGGATGGTATCCACGTTGTGCCCAACACGAGTGGCTGTCTTGCGCATCGACAAACCAAGTTCATGGAGTTTGATAATACAGTCATGTTCCCCGGTTGTTAACTGATGGTATCGAGCCGATTCAGCTCGCCGACGTCTCAGAGGCATTTTTCTATGCTTCTTCTAAAGTCTCTAATGCTCCATAAACCCTCAGATGCTGCTTATGAGAAGGGAAAGTGGCTGATCTTTATAGCCAACATATGCATACCATGTGATCCAATGCATGTGCAACTTTTATCATTTGCATACCCACCTCAAAACTCTTGCTCCTGCAATTTGCATGACGCTATGCACATTCTTTCTTGGTGTTGCAATTTCACTTTTGAGAAGTGTAGATCACCAGCATGACCTTTAAAAATTTCTGAAACCAAACTTTTGTGGCTGAAGTGAACCTTCTAAAAACCCAAGCCCATGACTTTCATTTTGGGTCAAGATAATAAGCACTGAATTTCATGTCATCACAAATTGTTTGAAAAATTTTGCTATATTATTTATGCAATTATATTATTTATGCTATATTATTTATTATATGCTTTACAGCAAAACATTATTGCTATTCTCTGCTCAACTTCTACAAAAACATTATTGCTATTCAGTCTACAACAGATGTCCAAGCAAATGGTAAAATGCATAGAAATTTCTGGCAATAAGTAAACAATATTTTAGAAAAAGCAAATTATCATTATGCCATAGAAATAAATTTTGCCAGTTATCATTTGGCAGATTGCTGGATTAAAAAAAAAAATTTCCAAATGTTTGTAGATGTGCTGCATTTGTTATTTCTGCTGTAATGCAAGTTCATTATACGATGAAATATATATTGTATTATAAAATGATCATATCATATTATATAATAATTATATAAAATGGTATGGAGTAATTCTTATAACCTTATATTATAAAATGACATGGAGTAACCTTATAACCTTAATTATATTCTTATACAGTTATATAACCTTATTTATGTTCTTATATAATTATATAACCATATATAATAATATTCTTATAACCACTCTTTTATTCATGCATCATGTTTTTAAAAAGATTGAGGCTTTATTTGCTGCATTTATAGAACACAGCTTTCTCTTTCATTCATACATAATTAATTTTTAAAATATTTTAGGCCTTTCTTTTATATTGGAGATTATAATGGTGGACTTCAGAAGTGGAACTATAAAACTAAGTACAAAATATTTATACTTTTATGGTTTTCCAACTATATGCATATACTTCTATTTTCATTATTTCTGTTTAGCATACTTCACATATACCTTGTATTTAAAGAGCTGAAACATTTTGGGGTTAATTTACCTTATTTGACTTAGATTAATTAAGTTTTAATTAACATTAATTTTTTATCAGTAGCTGATTTATGAAGCAAAGATCCATTTTGCCTGATATTTTGGGGCTTCTCATCTATAGAAATAGAGTATATGTAATATTTTTTTAAAAAAATCATTGTGTGTACCTAGTAATTGTGACTTGTGGGACTAATAAATCTGCTTGTAGCTAGATACATTGCTTGTAATAGATACATTATCTATCACATTAACTACAAGCAAGTGTTTATCAGCCAGACTAGGAATGATGCAATTCTGTAACATATCAGTGCACCTCAAACCCATCATACTGACAGTTTGAATAGCAGAACCACGCATTTCCTGGAAGAAAAAAGGTCTAATCATGATTGATGTGATAAATCCACAGCACACTGTGACCAACACCCGAAGGCGAGGATAAAAAAGTCATGAAGGGGATGTTTCTCACTCTTATTGCAGCTCATTTCATACATGATTCTCATTTGGGGTTACTTTCATTTTGCTGCCCAGCACCATATGTTGCCCCTCTTTTTTTTTCTTGTGCTTTCAATAAAACCCTTGTCATTTCAAACATGCATGTCAATTTTTACCTTTCTACCTACATTATTCTGTAAATTATTGAGTTTTCAAATGTTGATGGTCTTTTGGGTCACCCTGTAGATAATTTTAGTGAAATTATATGTGAAATTGTTGTATTTTTCTTTGTGATGTAGCACCAAAAGCTCAGAGAAACGATGTTCTGCCAGAAAAAAATATAATGCAGGGACAAGTCTATTTAACATTGAGTAAATGGCTATTTTGCAAATTTAAAGAAATATCACCAAGCTGGCAATGTTTTTGGTGACTGATTTTTTGTCGCCAAATTTGACGAAAAGTTGATGAAAGTCGCCAAAGACATTTTGGTTCTGTCCCTGTACAACTGTAATGGATACTATAACTGAATAACTGTAATTAGATGTTGAATCTGTGTAATTGTAACCATGTTTGCCCTCATATGCATTCCAGTAATTTTGAGAAGCAGAAAATACTAGAAATATCTCTATGGCCTGGTGAAAATAAGATCAGAAAGAGTTGTCACTTTCTCAGTTGTTGTTAGTTGTTTACTTCAGCATAATTGATCAATTATTAATTCAGAATAAGTTCCGTAATTCTGAAGTGTTTCTTTTGATAAAATAAACTTTATCAACCTATCATCAACCTGGGTGCATTCAATCTGTTATGAACCCGTACGCATGCAACTATATAAATTAATTTGCTGTTTATTAATCTGTATGATTATTGTTCGACGAGAGCATTGTTATTACTGAATCCCAAGATTTCATAAATATCATCCCATGCATAAATTGTGTTTCAGGTTGCTGAAAATTTGCATAATTTTATTGGAAGTACAAATATGTTTCAGTAATTTAATAAAAATAGCACCACCAATAAGCTATGGTTAAAATTATCTGATGCAAAGCATAATATCATAAGGTTTGACATCTGCTTACAAAATAGCCTTGAAATATTAGTGATTTTATATCAGCATCACATATTCTTTTTTGTGCGAAAATGTTGAATTTTGAACCAAATGAGCATCATTCTGAGGAACTTTTGGTTACTTGAAGAAACTTGCTGCTGCATCACATCAGTTGCTTGTAGAAGAATATGATAAGGCTGCCTTAAGTGAGAGAGGTTATTGTAAGGGGTTTTAAAGGTTTAAGAATTGTGAATTATACATTGAAGACAAAGAATGGAGCAAAAGGATGAAAATGCATGAAGACGCGGAAATGGAAGCATTATTGCATGAAGACGCGGAATTGGTAGCATTATTGGATGAAGATTCAATACCAAATGCAAGTAGAACTTGCACTTACATTAGGAGTGACTTAACAAGTGATTTCACATTGCTTAAAAATCATTGGAAATGATTCAAAAGCAAAGGAATATGGGTTCCATATGAACTGAAGCCGAGAAAAGTTGAATGGCAATTTTTTACCTGGGAAATGCTGCTTGCCAAATGTAAATGAAATGGTGTTTTGCATTGTAGTGTTTGGTGATGAAAAATGGATCCACTGCAATAACCCAAAGAAAAACAAATGGGGGCAACCTGGCCATTCTTTACCATCGACAGCTGAGCCAAATATTCATGGATAAAAATCATGCTGTGTATATGATGGGATCAACTTGATGTCATAGTATTATGAGTTGCTCAAACCAAACAAAACCATTACTGGGGGTATCTGCTGAGCACAGTTGATGAGACTGAGACAAGCACGCAAAGAAAAATATACCCACTACTCCAGCCATGACAGAATTACGCTCCTGCATGAAAATACTCATCTGCATGTTGCAACGGTAGTCAAAACCTACTCGGATACACTCAAATAACAAGTTTTTCCCCTCCCGCTGTATTAACTAGACATTGCTCCTTCTGATTACAACTTGTTTTGATTAATGATGAATGGTCTGCCTGGACGTAATGTTCTTTCACAATAAGTGGCAGTTTTGATGAAAAACAGTGGAGACTTATTTAAACTTCCTATATGTAAATAAAAATTAAAGGAAATTGTGTTGATTGTTTTTAAAATATTTAAGTATCAAGCTATTCAGGTTATATATTTTATAAAGGAAAGATATTTTTATGCCATTATGTCTGCATAAAAAATGGAAGGAATAATGACTGTGAAAACCGTATAATCTATATTATATATATAAAGTTTAATTAATATTCATTATGATGAAAAATGGCATGTATTAAATAAAATATTATTAAAGAAAATTATGTGTGTTGTTTTTTAATTTTTTTAAAATATCAAGCTACGTAGATTATAAATTTTATAAATTAAAGACATTTTATATAATTCTGAAGCACTTGAAAATGTTGAAAGTAATTTTGTAGTAACTTTTTTTCATGTATGATTAAATTTTAGTTTTTTGTTTGATATAATTATGAACTGATCTTGAGTCTAATATTCAAAGTCAAAACTGCATTAATTATATTAGGCTTATGTCTAGTTACTATTTATTATGCTGAAAAACAGCCATGTTTTGACTAAATAATTCTTGAATGGAAATAAATACTTAAGTATTAAGCTGTTTAAATAAACCTTTTTCATGAATTATGTTTGCTTATCAAGGACATGTATTGCAACAAGTACTGTGAATTATTTAAAAGCAACCTAAAAATTCAAAAGTTAATTTATAGTAATTCATTAGAAGAAACTTCAACAAATGTCTTAAATTTAATAATGTTGAAGGAAATGTGCGTAATTTACAGACTGTTCATATCAGTATTGGCAAGGGAGAATGCAGCTTTTTTAACCAGGGAAAACGGTCACATTTGTGACTTAAATTAGCTGTGAGTGTGATTTTTCCTTTACCCTCTACCAGTGATGTCACAATCACAGTTCTAAGGCCTTGTTATTTCGGTGGTATCAGTACAACTAACAGTTGTGAAAATAAAGGCAACATAATCACTTTTATTAAGTGCTTTGTATATTAATGCTATATATTTGCCAAATAAAAAATTAATTTTAAATTTTTCACTTCATCTAGTAAATCCTTTTCATAATAATAAATAGAATGCAATACAGAGTCCATAATGTGGACGTTCATTATCCAGAATGATGAATGATTTATAATCCGGACCTCAAAGCCACAAACTCTTTTTTTTTTTTTTTTTTGTATGCTTTACGCATGCGCGTTTAATGTATAAAGGATGGTATAAGCTAGGCTAAAATTATCTTTACTGATTCTAAGGCATTTCAGTTAATGTTGCAGATTGTGCCATTTCTTAATCTTGTAATTGGATCCAGCTTATTATTTTTTGCAGATTGTTAGAGCAATTTTATAAAAAATTAAGCTTGAACTTTCGATTATGTCAAAAAGAGTATCCAATTCTAGAGCTGCCAAAGGATCTACAAAGCGAAAGCATGTTTCGATGTCCATTAAACAAAAAGTGGAATTGCTGCAAAAAATGGATAAAAGGCATATCCGTCTCAAAATTATGCAATGAGTATGACATTGGAAAGTCAACTGTATATGACATAAGGAAAAGGAACTTTTTGTGGATTCCTTCACCCCATTTGCAATGAATAACAGAAAAAGGGTTCATTATCTTAAAAGTGATGATTGAATGGGTCAGACAGCATCGCAGTGAGGGCGTGCCATTGACGGGTCCAATGCTAATGGCTCAAGCCAAAATATTTCATGAAGAAATGAACTTAAACACTGAGTGCACATATTCGACAGGCTGGTTAACCAAATTAAAAAATTGCCATAGTATAAGACAATTACAAATTTCAGGTGAAAAAGCTTCAGCTGATACTGAAGTTGCTGAACATTTTGCAGACTAATTCATTGAACTCATTACTGGTGAACAATTATCTCCAGAACAAATTCATAATGCTGATGAAACTGGTCTTTTCTGGCAATATGTACCGCGAAATACCTTGGCAACCTTTACAGAATCGACTCCAGCTGGTGTCAAAGATTCCAAAGCAAGACTAACAATTTTAGCATGTGCAAATGCTGCAGAAACGCACAAGTGCAAACTTTTCGTAATCGGAAAACATGCACGACCTCTAGCATTTAAAGGAGTAAGAATTTTTCCCGTTATATATCGCGCAAATAAAAGAGCATAGATGACACAAGTGTTGATGAATGATTGGTTTGAAGATCATTTTACATCCGAGGCTCAGTGACATTCGAATTCGGTTGGTTTACCTGATGACTCAAAAATAGTCCTGATTGTTGACAACTGTTCGGCGCATACTTCACTTAAAGTATTAGTGAAAGATAATGTATCTGTATTATTCTTCCCTACAAACTGTACGTCTATCATTCATCCTATGGATATGGGAATAGTGCACGCACTGAAATG